TATCCTCTTAACTTTGGAATATTTACTCATGCAACATTCATTCTTCTTGAGGTTAAATGTTTACTTATTTACATCTTATTTATTTTTGTGTGTGCATGTGTGTACTTGCTACAGCAGGTGTATGGAATCAGAGGACAAGCAATGGGAATCGATTCTTCCCTTCTACCTGGTGGTTCTGGGTATCAAACTTGAGTTATCAGGCTTGGTGGCAAATGTCTCTACCCACTGAGCAATCTCTCAGCCCTATTTATTTTTCATGCATGTATGTGTAGGTACATGTGCATGTGCAAGTGTGCGTGCCTGTATATGAGGCCAGAGGACAACCTCAGACATCATGCTCAGAAACTGTCCACCTTGACTGAGACAGCATCTGTCACTGGCCTAGAGTTCACCAATTGAAAAAGACTGAGGCGAGCAAGTCTCAGGCAATATTCATGCCTCGACTGCACCATGCTTGACTTGAGCTGGGGCTCAGATTCAGATTTAGTGCTTCCCAGGCAAGGCCTACTCACCAAGATACCCCCTCAGTCCTTATAGGCTGACTATTTAGGGGTAGGAAAACAACAAGGTGTGATTTAAGTCCTTAGAGAAGCAGTAAAAAGTTGCCCTTGAACTTTGGATGAGCTGGAACTGATACTGTTTAGACAGGCTTCACCCTGCATTGTATAAAAATATTCTTTCATGAGAAGTGGCAGAAAAACCCCATTTAGGTTGAGGAAAGGGTAAACTTTTTTTTTTTTAATTTAAATTAGAAACAATCCTGTTTTACATGTCAATCCCAGTTCCCTCTCCCTCCCCTCCTCCCCTGCCCCCCTACCAACCCCCTATCTCATTCCCTTTCTGCTGCCCAGGCCTTTCATGGGGGATCTTCAAAGTCTGTCACATTATTTGGAGCAGAGCCTAGGTCCTCCCCCATGTGTCTAGGCTGAGAGAGCATTCCTCTATATGGAATGGGCTTTCAAAGTCCATTTGTACACTAGGAATAAATAGTGATCCACTACCAGATGCCCAAAAGACTGCCCAGTCTGCCTTAACTAACATCCACGTTCAGGGGGTCTGGGTCAGTCCTATGTTGGTTTCCTAATAATCAGTCTGGAGTCTATGAGCTTCCCCTTGCTTAGGTCAGCTGTTTCTATGGGTTTCTCCAGCCTGGTCTTGACCTCTTTGCTCATCACTCCTCCCTCTCTGCAACTGGATTCCAGGAGTTCAGCTCAGTGTTTAGCTGTAGGTATCTGCTTCTGTTTCTGTCAGCTACTGGATGAAGGTTCCTGGACGGCATATAAGGTAGTCATCAATCTCATTATCAGGGAAGGACATTTAAGGTAGGTTCTCTACTGTTGCTTAGATTCTTAGTTGGGGTCATCTTTGTAGATCTCTGTACATTTTCCTAGTGCCAGATTTCTCTTTAGATCTACAATGGCTCCCTCTATTATGGTACCTCTTTTCTTACTCTCCTGTATTTTTTTTTTTTTTTACTGACATAATCTTCCTGCTCCCTCATGCCCTCCTCTCTCCTCCTCTTCTCCCCTTCTCTTTCTCTTAATTCCCTCTCTCCTCCCTCCATGCTCCCAATTTGCCCAGGCGATTTTGTCTCTTTCCCCTTCTGTGGGGGACCATGTATGCCTCTCTTAGAGTCCTCCTTGCTTTCTAGCTTCTCTGGTGGTGTGAATTATAAGCTGGTAATCCTTTGTTTTTGTCTAAAGTCCATATCTGAGTGAGTACATATCATGTTTGTCTTTTTGTGACTGGGTTACCTCACTCAGGATGGTTCCTTCTGTTCCATCCATTTGCCTGTGAATTTCAAGATTCCATTGTTTCCCCCCCCACTGAGTAGTATTCCATTGTGTAAATGAACCACATTTTCTCCATTCATTCTTCAGCTGAGGGGCATTTAGGTTGCTTCCAGGTTCTCTCTATTATAAATAATGCTGCTATGAACATAGTTGAAAGATGTCCTTGTTGTATGAATGTGCATCCTTCGGGTATATGCCTAAGAGCCTAAGAGTAGAATGGTGGGTCTTGAGGTAGACTGATTCCCATTTTTCTGAGGAACCGCCATACTGATTTCCAAAGTGGCTGTATGAGTTTGCACTTCACAAGCAGTGGAGGAGTGTACCCAAGGAAAGGGTAATCTTAACCTTTAAACAGATAACTCTTTTGATGGTTATACTCTGCAAAATCTTAGTCCTGGAATAAAGAGTACACTATAAAACCCAAACCAACTCTTGCTACCTGGGGACTCTGTGAGGCTGGCTGAGCTAATGTGAGTGTGCTCATGATAAGAGTGGTGTTTCCAATAATGGGATTGCTGGTGTTCCAAGGAGCCTTAGTAGTCTTCTTAATTCTGGCCAGCAAGGTGGTTAGGTGGGTAAAGCTACCAAGTCTAATGACCGGAGTGACTCATAGAACTGACATTATGGAAAGAGAGAGTGGGCTCCTCTAAGTTGTCTTCCGACTTCCATATTCATGTTGTAGCATACACACACACACACACACACACACACACACACACACACACACACACCCCAAAAAGAGTTCTTCAGAATCAATTGTATTGAAGTATCAGCAAATAACTTCATGGGTATTTAAAGCCTGTAATGTTCAGTTGTTTATCACAATAATTGTTCACATTTCTCAATTTGCCTGACACCAGAAGATGAGCTTGAGGTATTAGTCTAAGCTTTGGGAGGGAATCTAGAGAGTTTGCATTAACTGACAAGTATGTCTGAGAACACGTGACCAGACATGATAGAACCAGATGCAGAACTCAGGGTTCCTCATCACTACAGTGTCCTGCTTTTATTTGTTCTCAGAATCGGCCAAGGGCAAACTGTCTACCTTCCTGGTGATGTTCTCACATCTTTTTTACTTTGTTTATGTTGAGACAGAGTCTGATATATCCTAGACTAACTTTAAATTCTATGTGTAGCAAAAGATGACCTTGAACCTCTGATCCTCCTGCTTCAATCTCCTGAGTGCTGGGATTATAAGCATGTATTAACATACCCGATTTATGTAATGCTGGATATTGAACCCAAGACTTTGAACCAGTGTCTTCATCTTTGAATCATCTGCAGTTGGAGAAATCTGGAATCCCTGTCTCTCCCTAGGTCCTTCTTCCCTACTACTCTAGGGGTTGCCAGTCTTTGCTGCTGGTTTGGAAATACTATTTCCTTCCCAGGGCAGGACTGACCAGTCACCTCTGTAGCTGCTCTCAAGTTCCCCTCCCACCCGCTGCACAAAGCTCTACCTACTCCTGTATGGGAATGTTGCAAGGGAGGCTGATGTGCCTTCTAGATATTTAGTCACTCCCATGTCCAATGTGTATGAGCTTTTTCTTTCTCTTAGAGTCTAGATGTATTATATATTAAAGGGTGACTAAAAATGGGACTTCTACAGAGAGTCTGGGCTGGGTTAGAAGGGGTTCAGAATAATAGTGAACTATAGGACCATGGGGCAAAAGATAGGTAACAAAGACCAAAGCCAAGGGAAATGGGCAGGCCTCTCTCTCTCTCTCTCTCTCTCTCTCTCTCTGTGTGTGTATCTACATGTACACACATGAACATGCCTTTTCAAGTATGGAGTGTATGAATAAGTGAGTATGAGACAAAGATAGAAAGATACAGTGAGACACAGAGAAAAAGAAAAAAAAGTAAGATAGACACAGAGAAGCAGAAAACTAGAGAGATTAAACAGAGAGATATGGAGAGACAGGAAAAGGGAGATAAAGAGGAAGAGAGACTCTGAGAGTGAGATAAAGAGGCGCATGCGTGCGCACACACACACACACACACACACAAAGAAACAGAAAGGGGGTGAGGGGGAGAGGGAGAGAGAAGGAGAAAAGGGAGAGGGTGGGAGAGGCTAGGTTCTCTCAGTATCTCCATATGTGGCTTACTTTAGGTTTGATTATTTTCCTCCTTCAATTAAAGTGGATAACCCTTAAATCTCTGCATGCCTTGTTCTTATGGGATGGAGTAGTTCTATTCCAAGGCCGGGGATAAGGAGTGTGATCTTCCGTGCATGCTGGATGCCTGCTTTAGGAGAAGCCATTTGAGAAATGCCTATGCAACACATGTAGTTACAAATGTTCAACTGCATTTTCAGCTAAATTTCTAAGCACTTCATTTCAAAAGAATCCATTTTGTTTGTTTTTCTTCTTCAAAAATGACCCAAGACTTTGACATACCTTTCCATATACAGCCAAGAGAGATTAGAAGCAGCTTTTGCCATAAGAGGCTTATCCACCATAATGAACCCAGTAGCCCAGTAGCTAAAAGAAGAGTTAGTATCTTTTTTTTTTTTTTTTTTTTTGTAATTATTGGGATCTTGGACAAGAATCTGGAGATAATGATGTTTAAGTAGAATCTTAATTTACCGTTGACTTTCTGCTCAAGCTAAAGGATTCTCTACTCTTCTTCTTTTAATACAAAGAAGAGCCCTTTGTGGGAGGTGATAGAATGACAGTTTCAGAAAGGTTGGAATTACTGATGTACAGGGAAACGTGAATGACAATACATGTATTTATTAGTGCCAGGGTATCTTGAGTAATAAAATATAGATGCAATAGCTTACTAGATGCTTCCCAGGTAGAGAACATGCCTTCTGCACATCACTATACATGTGAGAAAATAGTCTCTGGTTTTTCTTATTCTTTGCTTGCATGTTGGCCAAAAATGAAACGAAAATCCTTATGGTGGTGCGGATTTTCTTTTTGTTCCTTGCAGTGTGGTTCCAGATACAATGGAGGAGGATTGCTGATCCTCCATGATATTGTTAGGTCACAACAGGTTAATTAAAGAGTGACTTTCAGTGACAGGGCTTATTACCTGGAAGGAGTCAGATGCTCTTGAATGTCAACCACGTGATGACTTTCTTCTTCTTAGCCACATGAAAAAGCTTAGTGGACATTTAGTCATGATTTGAGTGGACCTTAAAGAACCAACATCAAAGGGCACAGTGGAGAGAGTCATATTTATCAACACTAAATAAACACATGGTGAAGTATGCATAAATATTCTTTATATAAACATGACACAACATTAAATAGTTTAGGTACAGACACACCACTGAGAACACATCCACTGATGTCAAAGTCGGCTGTAAACACCACCTCACACTGAATACAAAAGCAGCTTTGGCCCCAGCTCTGGGTTCACAACACAGATGGATGCCCTGCACAAGGGAAGGGTTCTCCACAGCCCTCCCATCCCCCCACCCGCTCCCCACACAGTCCCAGCAGAAGGAAAAGAAGGAAGGAACCCAACAATACAGCAGCCACGAGAACAAGAGCAGCAGACCCCCTCCCCCGGAGAAAACACGGTGCACTTGGGGCAATTCAAAGGATAATGCAAAATTTGCTTGTCACAATGGAAAGAAATACATTTTGAAGCAATACTTTCAAGTGCAATTTTTTCTTCAGAGGACCTGTGGCTTCTTAGACACCAACCGTTCCTGGGTGAAGATTATACGGTGACAACCAGAAGGTCCTGGCTCCTGCTAAATAACAGGAGGTAAGCCCTACTTTCCTCCAGAAGGTGCCAAGTAGCAGGGAGTGAAATACAATACTTTCTGTCAGGCCCTGGCACAGTATTTCCTTCGTTTTTCCATGTAAATGTAGATATATTGCTGTATGTGACATTCAAAGGTGACTCTAGGATTGAGTTTCAAGCAGTTTAGATCCCAGAAATTTTGTTTTGAAACATTCAGATTTGGACGACTAAATTCAAACATGTACATAAGTTCATTCATTTGAGCTCAGAGGGGCCCTAGTTCAGCTCTGTAGATAGAGCTAACAGCCAAGGAGACAGTACGCATTCAGAGTCCAGTCAAGACGTGGTACCGACTGACCCTTGAGACTTTCCGTCTAGCACAGGTTTGATGAGAAGGCCTGGCTTCTCTGGGGTGGATATTATTCTTCAGGGTGGTTTGTGGAAAATAACTCCAGTGTCAAAAACCCAAACCCTAACACAACATTAAACCGGGCTTAATTCACTTTCGTATCATATTAGGATCCTAGAGAATTTCAGTTACCAAAGTACTGAAAGCATATATGGTAGGAACATTTGGCCAGTTCGGTGTTCCCCAACAGGTTATATACACTATGTGTGTGCGTGCTGAACTCACACATATATAGGTATGCATGTATTCATATGCAATTTTATTTGTATGAAACTTGAACTGCACAAAACAGTACTTTGCAAGAACCAAGAATCAAATCCACAAATAGAGTTTAACAACACACCAAAAGGGGACAGAAGCTGATTGGGACAAGAGGTGTCAGCTTTGCAATGTACAAAATAACTCAGAACCACAGATATCCAAGCCTGCTGCGCTTCACATGGGGTCTGGATGAACACTTTGGGACCCTTTGGAAGAGCACATGGCAACGAGTGCAGCGAGGCTCGCCTGTGATTTCAGAGCTGATGGGAGTTAAAAGACCTAGGCAAACCAATTTCAGAGGATACTTGCTTCAAGACAATATATTTTTTTCTCTTTAAGAAAAAAACACTTAAAAGTCTATTTCAGAATATATTTCTTTATATTCAGCAGTATGCTTTCCTTTCTTTCCTGCTGAATTGGCATTTGGCCAAAATCAGTTTATTCAATGGATCAGTAAACAGGCAGCTTCTCTCCCATGTGGTTGATAAAACCCCTTTTATCACCATCAGGAATGGCCTCCCACTTGCGCCAGACTCCTGCTAGGCTGTGTGGGCTGATGTGCATGTGTGGTCACTGCTACTGACAAACCCTTTTTCTACAAGGCCTGCTCGGGCACTCGCTTGTGAAAAATGACTGACTGTCTTTGCTGGTACTGCTGTTTGCGTCTCTTTCTTTTGTCACACTGGCATAAGAGAAGCATCTTGAAGGTGGTTCTGAATGTTTTGTTGCACAGGGCATAGCACACGGGGTTCACGGTGCTGTTGATATAGCATAGCCAGTAGCCCAGATTCCAATAGGTTTTGGGGATGCAGCTATCACAGAAGGTATTCACCAGGACCATGATGTTGTAGGGGGTCCATGTGATGATGAAGGCCAGCAAGATGGCACTGAGGGTTTGGGCTGCCTTCTTCTCCTTGATGAGTGACATTCTTTTCCGCTTGGTGATCTGACTTCTGGTCTTCAGAGCAAACCTCTTAGCCAGTGTGGCTTCCTTGAAGGACAGTGGTAGAGTGGCTGTGGTCTTATCCACCGAGGAGTTGGTGTCAGAGGTCTTGGTTGTATCCAAAGCAGACTCTAACTGAATGGGAAGCTTGGAGAAGTCCTTCTGACAACTGTCACCATCATCCATGCTCTTCTGGGCTTGAAGCTTATTGGCATTTCTCTCCACATCAACAGTCCCCAGGTCCTCATCTGGCACCTGCAGGTTGTCTGAGGAGGGTAGCTTGGTAGCGTTGAGGATGGTGCTATGACCTGGAAGCTTGAGTACAATAGAGTAGATGGCTCTGGTCTCCGAGCCAATGTCCTCTTCATCGGAGGAGGCAGAGTTTTCCAGGGAGGCAGCAGCATCATTGTTATTCCAGCTGTCACTGCTACTGTGGTCTTGGTCCATCTGCTCAACACTGGGCTTCCAGCTCTTGGTTGTGAACCAGAAGTGACAGCGACCATACTTCCTCCTGGATGAGCGCTTCATGCTTTGCTGTTGTAGTTCATAGCTGCTGCAGCTTCGAGAACTGCCAGTGGGGTGGACAAAGTTTTCTGCCTCAGCTTCTGTCCCAGAGGCTTGCAGCCCAGCCAGCTCTTTGGTACGTTTTTCAGTTTCCTTATAGATCCTCCAATATAAAATAGTCATGATGGTGACGGGCATATAAAAGGCTGCAATCGCCGTGCCGAAGGTGATGGTGGGCTCACTCAGGAACTGAATGAAACATTCTCCTGGGGGCACAGTTCTCTTCCCCACAAAGTATTGCCAGAACAAGATGGCAGGAGCCCACAGGACAAAGGAGATAACCCAAGCCAGACCAATCATCACACCAGCTCGTTTTGTTGTTCGTTTGGCTCGGTAGGTGAGTGGCCTTGTGATGGAGAAGTACCTGTCGAAGCTGATGACCAGCAGATTCATGACAGAAGCATTGCTGGCCACATAGTCAATGGAAAGCCAGAGGTCACAGGCTAAGTTCCCAAGTGCCCAGCGGTTCATAATGATGTAGGTAGTGAACAGGTTCATGGAAATGACTCCGATGATCAGATCTGCACAGGCCAGGCTTAAGAGGAAGTAGTTATTGACTGTCTTCAGCTGTTTGTTGACCTTAAATGCCACAATGACAAGGATGTTGCCAATGATGGTCACCAATGCCAGGAAACCTGTTAAGAATGCAATGAAAACCACTTGCCAGACGGTGTGACCCCCAAGAGGGTCACTGGAGGTGTCGTTTGAGGAGAAATTCCCAGCTGCTTGTGAAATGTTATAGCTGCCCAAGTGAGTGACTGTCCCCAAGGGCAGCACTGCCTCTGAGGAACTGTGCACCCAGGAAGAGCTGATGTTGGGAAACAAAGGCGAGGTTGTACTGTTACTGTGCAAGGTCATTGTGACTCTCTGACATAGTCTGGGGAAAAAAGAGAAAAGATGAAGTTAAGAAAGGTTTGTGTGTTGTTTGGTATTTTCTTTGGGCAATATATATATATACATATACATATATATATATACACATATATACATATACATATACATATGTACATATATACATATTTATATTCTTTTAAAGATTAAATTTGATATTTGACCATTACATATAATTCATACTAAATACTATCAACCCCAATTTCTCTTAATCCCCCACTCCTGTTTACCTGCCCCTTCATCTCCACAAATCTTTCTTACACTCTTATCTAATTTTCGTTTTTGAGAGAAGGTTTCAATCTGTAACCCAAGCAGGACTGGAACTCACTCCTTATCCCTCAGACTTGTGACCTTTCTGTCTTAGTCTCCAGAGCTAGAATGAGACATGCATCACACTGGTTTTCTATGGCCTGCATTTAAGATATGTGTTACAAGGCACAAATTTCAAAGCAGCTACATATGATCCAGTTAATTCTCTAATGTGAAAGGCAGGAGTCAAAGGCATGCCAGGTTGATTTGTTCAAGGCAGAATAATTAGCAAAGGAATTGACCTTTGTACTTTCACTCACACGTGTACATACATCTCATGGAACACTGACATCAAACAACCAAACCCTGATTCCTCCGATTTACTTACTTCTATCGTTTTCACAGGGGGAAAAAGATCAAATGCTTATATGGCAATTATTCAACCATAGAGTTACCTTCATCCTGCTTGATAACTGGATGTGAATTATTTGCATTCTATCCACCTGATAAAATGACGAACATTTAAATATGAGCATTTTAAACATCTGAGACTTCAGACAAGCAACTTGAAGGTGATACCAGCTATTTAAACTTTACTGAAATGATCCAAGCCAATCCAAAGCAAGAGAGAAATAGTGTTCACTACTTCACATAATACTCTTTATTTTCATTCTTATGTAGCTCAAACTGGTCTTAAACATACTATGTAGCCAAGGATGACTTTGAATTCTTATCCTTCTGTCTCTAACTCTGGAGTGTAAGTATTAAAACTTCACTACACCAGGGCTTTCTGCATGGTAGGAAGCCGCTCCACTAACTGAACTACATTCTTAGCTCATGACACTGTGTCTTTAAACATTACTGAAATATGTAATACACTGTTTTTGAAAATAGCATACTCATTTCTTATATACTTTCTGAAGAACCTTAATCTTCCCAGGGTCTTGGGACCCTGCAAAGACTCTTGGACACAGTAGCTTTTTCCTTCTTTTCTGTCAGATTTGCATGGCAGCTTTGTTTATAGCCTACCTTCCACCAATCCACCAACCTCTCTGCATCATACATTGATATCCATAGCAATTTTTAGAGCCCCTTGCCATTGCATCATGGTCCGGGGTTTTGCTGTTATGGGAACTAATCATGTTCTGGTGTCTTGTTTTCTTGTCTTATGACACCCATTCTGATTTCATTGCAATACCTAGAAATCCCAAGGCTTCTTGTCTATTTTCTTTTATCTTTCTTTTAAGGTACGACCACAGTAGATATCTGTGATTTGTCATTCTTTCAGCTATTTGTTTGTGTTCAACCTGATACTCTTTCAGCATGTTTTGAGATAGGTATTTGCCACTTGGTCTCGCATGAGTCCTTGACCACAGTGATGGACTTGATGTATACACAAAGAAAGATGATCGGTTTGGTGAATTCATATGGATGCTGTGAAGAGAAAGTCTTTCACCTTTGGGGATCCTGGGTAGTCTGTTGACTACCTTTGTATGTGTGCGAAACCTGAGATGTAAGAGAAGGCAAAGGAAAGATGGGCGTGGGGCAGGAGCACAATGGAGTGGAGCCCTACGAACAGGTGGTCTGAGAGTAGTTCTTTCAATACTAGACATAGCTATTCCTAAATCAACAGAACAGCCTTGGCCTTGGGAATATAACCAAAAGTTCCCCTTGTTTCTTGGGTGATTGAAGGAAGGCTTGGTTACTCACAACTAATGCTTCTTGATTAATCTGTTTGGTGGACAAATTAATCTGCAAGTGGATATTCTAGACTAGTCTTTATAATATATAAGTTGTGCTAGAAATTTTTGTTAAAATAAGTGGATTTGAGCTACTGTTACCACACATATAATAATCTGCAATAACAGATATGTAAATCTGCATCACTATAGAAACCATTACTCTTTTTAATTATTTATTTTAAATAAAATTTTATTTAAATTAAAACAATCTTATTTTACATAACAATCCCAATTCCCTCTCCTCATCCTATCCCCCCATCTCCCCCAACACTCCCCAGGGAGGGTGAGGCCTCCCATGGGAAATCATCAAAGTCTGACATATCATTTGGGGTAGGACCTAGGCCCTCCCCTGCCATTCATTCCCTTAAACATGTGAATATCAACTATACCGCAAGGAATTTGTTTAATTTTTTATTACATTTATTTGGTTACTCAGCTTTGTGTGTGTGTGTGTGTGTGTGTGTGTGTGTGTGTGTGTGTACATGTTGTGGGTACATATGCTGTGGTGCATATGTGGAAGTCAGAGGACAACTTGGGGGAGTTGATTCTCTCTCTCTACCATGTGGGTCCTGGGAATCAGGTCATTAGGCTTGGTAGTAAGTGCCTTATATGCTCATCCATCTTGCTCTTGAAATTTGTTTTTTTAAAAATAAAAAGCGATTGGAAGTAAAAAAAAATAATTTTGTCATAGTCAACATCAGTACACCTCATTAAAACACTTCCATCTGTAAGTCTCTGTGATTGGTCTGTGGAAGCCAGGAAGTCATAGCCTCTGTGATTGTGATCCATCATCCCATAACTGAGAGGGAAGAGGTGGATAAAATCTTTTTAAAACTCAGAAAGTCATGTAGGCAATAAGAAATCCCTCCCTGTAGACAGTCATATCTTGTTGTATAAATTAAAAAACAACTGGATTTGTTCACTTGACCAATTAGGTATTAAAGAATGTAAGAAATTTAGAAATAAGGCTCAGGTGAGTTGTTTTCTTTTAGCTTCTTTTATTCTCCTGGAAAGTGAGACAAAACTCAGTTTTTAAAATCTTAAACTAATTGGAAAGTCCAAGTTACTTCCTACTCCTCAGGAATATAAATTCACTCTATTAAAATTATTTTTATTAGATTTGTTTACATTTGCCTGTTTTATGGTATCACCTGTATGCTTGGCTCCCATGGAGGTCAGAAGAGGGTATCGGATTCCCTAGAATCCGACAGTTGTGAGCTAACACATAGATGCTGGGAATCAAACTCAGGTCCTGTTCAAGAGTAACAAGTGCTCTTAACCACCAAGCCATCTCTCCAGTTCTCTAATTCTACTCCTTTTTCCTATCACAATCATGGGGGAGCCTTAGCAGTTTGCAACCATGTTTTTGAAAGACTAGCTACTTAGCATTTCTTCTTTTTTAGAATACATCATTTTTGGAGCTTGTTTTGGGTCCCTGCTTTGGTCAGGAGTGTCTGCTTTCTGTCAAAGTTCATTACAGCACTCCACAGCTATGTCTTCATGAATGGAAAGATCCCATTAGGCCACTAGATGGCAAAGTTGACTCAAAGAAAACCTGGATGCTAAAAAATGCCTAAGCAGCAGGCTGTCCCAGAGCTTAGTTCAGTCATGCAGGAGGTGGAAGATATCAAACAGGGTGGACAGAGCTTTGCAATCAAACATGTCTTTAAAGGGACTCAAACTTGTGAACTTAGCCCTTGTATTCATTTCAAGCTGTGAGGAGGAGAATGTTGCCTAATATGGTACAACGGTTCTTGTTGTGAACAAAACATTTCCGAATGCCAAAAGTGGGATAGAATTCCACTTAAAAAGGAGAAAGCTTGTTTTTAAAAAGATGATGTATCAGACTGCTTCCCTGGTTGCTGCCTTTCATAAGCTCTTATTTGATGTGACAACAAAAATGTAAGATGCTTGGAAAAAGGCCTCTCACATCAGTACCGCCAAAGCTTGGCATCTGCTCATGAAATAACATAGTCTACCTTAAAAGCAAACATCTAAGTTGGATGATTGTAGAACTCCATGAGCACCTTTTAAGCCTAAAACATTTTTATTAGTCTTTTTAGAGAAGTGGAATGAGTTAAAAAGCAAACATGAGTATTTCTTTTTAAACATTAGTAAGATCCCTTTACTCAGAAGGTTTAGTTAGTGCACTGTCCCCAACATGTTCTTGGAGGAGAGAAAAACAATTTAAGACCCTACCTGCCTTTCAACATTCTGAAGGTCATTCAAGGTCATTTCCTCTGGCTGCTGTGTTTTTGTGGTAGAAGAGAAGAAGCCACATTTCGAGAAATGACCCCTTGATCTTACACAACCATGGAAATAATTTTGCTTAAAGTTCTAGGGGACTGGGAGATGGCTCAGTGGGTGAAGCACGGGGTGCACAAGGACCAGAATACAAGAAAAAAGGGTTTTCCACAGCACATGTCTAGTTCCAGCTTTCCTATGGTGAGATGGGAGGCAGACAGGTGGGTCCCTGGAAGCTTGAAGGCCAGCTAACTTTTTATACATAGTCACAGGACAACAGGGATGCTGTTCTGTCACAAGCAAGGCTGAAGGTAGGGATAGAAATCTGAAGTTGTTCCCTGACCTTCACATGTGTCCTGTAGTGTGTATGCACTTGCACTCACACACATGAATGTGTATGTATACACATATACAAATATACATATACATACATACATACATACATACAATTGCATATGTACACAGAAAAAGAGTAGAAAAAAATCTTCTGGTGAAAAAAATCCAGAATGAAGATTTAGGATATGTCAATACATATACAGCAAGTGAAGAGCACTCATTTGGCCCACAATGTATGCTATTGCTACTAACAAGCTAGACTCCTTATGTTTCTTTAAAGGTTCATACTTATAAGACTCTCTTTGAAGCCAGACTTGTTCCACACTTCTGATTTCCATTAATACTCCCACTTACTTACACACTCCAACTGAAGCAAGTTTGTACACACACTGTAAATTTGAAAAAAAAAAACCCT